GTAACCTGAGGCTCAGATGTTCAAGCAACTTGTTTAAAATAGTAGGCTGTGAAGCAGGCTCCACATATCAAAAGTCCAGATCACCTCTGGTGCCTATAAGAACTATGCCAGGATTACCAACCTGTGACCCATCATTTTACTTCACTCAAAAATCTTTAATGGCTCCTAATATATAAAGAATAAGGATCCAAACTCCTGAACCAGGCATTCAACATCTTAACACTTTATTTACCCATTTCACATACAGTTTGCCTTGGTCACACTGTGACTATCCTCTAAACATGTCTCAGGGCTCTAAATATCCTTAAACATCCTTATGCAAGTTCCCACTTATAAAGCCTTTACTATTTGTTTCAATCCATCTTCAAAGAATCAGTTCAAGTCACATCCCTTCCAAGAAACTTTCCCATATCTTGCCACTGAGAATCATGAATTGTATCTCCCCCCTTGACTACTATAGCACTGTGTATCTCTACTGGGGCATTTTGAAAGACTGTCTTAGAACAGAGTTCTAATACACATATATTGCCCATACAGAGATCAGCACAGTGCTTTGTGCAAAAACAACCATTGCAGCCTGCAGCACTGAACTGAGAGAACAACTCAGGGACTCACTTATTACAGGGTAGGATAATACACCAACTAGAGCATTTTTACTTTGTACACATTGATCATTTCTTTAAAAGTGAGCAAATAATACTAAAAGAATATTAATATTAAATTTCTTCTACATAGAAATTGAATATCAAACTGTGTTTTAAAATCTCTCAAATACCTCATACAGTTTGAAAACATCAGCTAAATTGATTAGAGATGATGGTATCAATTGTGATTGCTTCTGCAATATTCTTCCTGAGTGGAGTGGAGGGCTGGACCCAGTATTTTGAGTATGGTGGGTGAATGTTTGACTACTGAGCCACACCTCACAGCCCAGTGGTATGAAAATATACTACAACCTGACTCCTACCCAGTCTAACCTAAATGTGAATATTTCAAGTGAAAGGACACAGGAGATTAGGACCTCCAACCAAAAATGGCCTCAGATGTGTAAATCCCAAAGTAGAAACACAGTAATATGAAAAAACAAGGTAACATGTCACCTCCAAAAGTCAACAATTCCACAATAAAGCAGTTGAGTGATAGTAAAGTGCATGAAATCTCAAACAATGAACACAAAAAAATGTTGATAACAATGATGAACAAAATTAAAGAGGACATGTATAAATAGCTGAATGAAATAAGGAAGACAATACTCATATCTGACAAAATAGACTTCAAAATCAGTCAGAAGAAACTAAGCTAAGCATATATACACTGAATGCCAACAATATTCAATTTCATAAAAGCACAGATAGAACTAACACAAAAATAGTAATATCACACTCTCCAATAGGTGATCCAGACAAAAAAATCAACAAAGAAACTTCATAATTAAATGATACTATGTATCAATGTACCTAACAGATCTCCAAAGAATATTTCATCCAGCAGTTACAGAATACACATTCTTCTCAGTAGCCTATGGAACTTTCTACAAAATAGATCATATTTTAGGACATAAAACAAGTTTTAACAAATACAAGAAAACTGAAACAACCCTTTGTATTTTATAAGACTATAATGGGATAAAACTAGAAATCAAAAACAAAGGAAACCACAGAAAATATTCAAACACTAGGAAAATCAAAATATTTCTAGGATCAAATAAAAATGAAAACACAACTTACCAGAACCTTTGGGATATAGCAAAGGCAGAACTAAGAGGAAAGTTTGTAATCATTAGTGCCTACATTTAAAAAACAGAGATCACAAATAAATAACCCAAAAACACATCAAGCTCTTAGAAAAACAAGAGCAAATGAAACAAAAAATTAGCAGCTTAAGAGAAAAATATTGAAGATTAGGGAAGAAACTAATGAAATTAAGACTAAAAAAATACAATCAAGGGAAAAAAGTTGGTTCTTTGAAAAGATAAACAACATTGGTAAATCTATAGCTAAAGTAACCAAAAGAAGGAGGAAGACAACACATATTAACAAAATAATAAATGAAAAGGGAAATTATCAAAACAAGTAACAATGAAATTCAGAAGACTATTAGGGAATACTAGAAGACACAGAAAAATCTGTAGTTGCATATGATTTACAAGATATAACCTACAGGACACAACCCACTTAAACAGATCTATAACAAGCATGAGATTGAAGAAGTAATACAGAATTTCCAAATAAAGAAAAGCCAAGCACCAGATGGATTCACTGCCAAATTCTAGCAGGCCTTTAAAAAAGAACTAATGCCAACGTTCCTCAAACTATTCCACAAACCTGAAAGAGAAGGAATGCTACCAAACTCATTCATGAAGCCAGTACTACCATGATGCCCAAATTGGATAAGGACACTACAAAAAAGAACACTACAGAACAATTTCCCTGGTGAATACAGATCTAAAAATTCTAAATAAAATACTTGCCAACTGAATTCAACAACACATTAAAAAGATCATACACCATGGCCAAATTGGGTTCACTCCAGGAATGCAAGGATAGTTCAATATATACAAGTCAATAAATAAACAGAATTAAGGGCAAAAAAGGCACATTATCATCTCAATAGATATAAAAAAAACCCTATGACAAAATTCAATGCCTCTTCATGATAAAACCTCTGAAGAAACTAGGAATAGAAGGAATGTACCTCAATATATTAAAGGCTATATATGGCAAAGCTATAAACAACATCATACCAAACAGGGGAAAACTGAAACCATTTCCTCTAAACTCAGGAACATGACAGGGATGGCCACTCTCTGCATTCTTATTCAATATAGGGGTTGAATTCCTAGCCAGAACAAGGAAGGCAATAGAAACAATAAAATGTATACAAATAAGAAAAGAAGAAGTCAAATTATCACTATTTGCAGATGATATGATTCTATACTTCTAAAGACGCCATGAAAAACTCCTAGATCTGATAAACACTTTCAGTAAAGTAGGATACAAAATTAACATAAAAATCAGCAACTTTTCTTATACCAACAATGAACAGGGTGAGAAAGAAATAAGGAAAGCAATCCCATTTACAATAACCTCAAAAAACAACTATGAATAAACTTAACTAATGAGATAAAAGGCCTCTATAATAAAATTATGAAACACTACAAAAGAAATTGAAGAAGACACTAGCAGAGATCTAGGTTCATAGATTAGCAGAATTAATATTGTGAAATTGGCTATACAACTGAAAGCAATCTACAAGTTCAATGCAATTTCCAAGGAAATACTGATGTCATTCTTCACAGAAATAGAAAAGTCAATCCTAAAACTCATATGGAAATATAAAAGAACCCAAACAGCAAAAGTAATACTGAGCAAAAAAGAGCAATGCTGGAAGTATGCACGGAAACAAGAACAGTACTGGCACAAAAAAAGACATGCAGACAGACAGAAGATCCAGAAATAAATCCACACAGCTGCAACCATATGAATTTTTTGACAAAGGAGCAAAAAACATATGTTGGAAAAAAGCTTCAATAAATGGTGCTGAGAAAACTAGATATCAACATGTAGAAGACTGAAAGTAGACATCTGTAGAAAAATCAATTCAAAATGAATCAAAGATCTTAATGTAAGACCTGAAATTTCAAACTACTATAAGAAAACATAGGAAAATCATTTGAAGATATAGAAATAGGCTATTATTTTCTGAACAGGACTCTAATTGCTTAGGAAATAAGAGCAAGATTTGAAAAATGGACTTAAATCAAATTAAAAAGCTTCTGTACATCAAAGGATAAAATTGTTAGAATGAAGAGACATCCCACAAAATGGAAGAAAAATATTTGTAAGCTATTCACAGGGTAAAGGATAATATTCAGAATATACAAAGAGCTCAAAAATTAAACACCAAAAACACAAATAATCCAATTAATAAATGGGAAAATTAACTGGACAGTTCTAAGAAGTATAAATGGCTACTATACACATGAAGAAATGTTCAACATCTTTAGCCATAAAGGAAATAAAAGTCTAAACAACACTGAGATTCCATCTCACCCCAGTTAAAATGGCAATCAGCAAGAAAACAAAGAATAACATAGCTTTGTGAGGATTAGAAGGAAAAAAGAACCATTATCCACTGTTGATGGGAATGCAGATTAGTATAACCACTAAGGAAATCAGTATGGAGGTTCCTCGAAAAATTGAAAATAGACCTAACGACCCTGCTCTGCCACTCTTGGGCATATACATAAAGGACTGTAAGTCAATATACAATAGAAATACCTGCACACCTATGTTTACTGCAGCACTACTCACAATAGCCAAGCTATGGAATCAGCCTAGGTACCCAACAACTGATGAATGGGTAAAGAAAATATGGAATATATACACAATGGAGAAGTTTTAAGCCATAAAGAAGAGCAAAATTATGTCATTTGCAGGAAAGTGGATGGAACTGGAGAGTATCCTGTTGAGCAAGATAAGCCAAGGTCAAAAAGCCAAAAATTGCAGGGTTTTGCTCAAATGTGTAATCTAAATCTAAAATGATGATAATAATACTAATAATATTGGGGCATAGGCATAAGAGGGAGACTCTGGTGGCATATGTCTGTATATAAACATATATATATATATATGTATGTATGTGTGCATATATATAAATATATATGTGAAGATAACATTGTGAAACCAAATAAATAATGGTTTTAAAAAAGGGTGCTTAGAAGAGTATAATAGAGGGGGTGAATATGATCAAAGTTCATTGTGTGTATCTATGGAAATATCACAATGAAAGCCCTTTGTATAATTAATTTACGTGACTAAAAAAAAACCCCATGATACCTAATACAGTTTGAAAATACCAGCTAAAGGACTGTAAAAATATACATATCTCTAATATTGACATCTTGGTCACCACACTGATTATGTAGTAGACAGTCACCTTGGTATGTATTGGTACCATGATATTCATCTGGATATTGTGACTGATCACCACCACTGATTTCAGATCTTCTGTAACCATTCCTTGGCTTCCATCATGAGCAACTGGTTCCGCTGGAGCAGCATTGCCTGTGACATCACCCACTTTTCCCTAAGCCCAGATGTACCTTTGTCAACACTATTCTGTGAGAGAGTATACCATTAGCTTCCGGGCATGAATATGTCTTCTGGTACATGTTCACAACATCTAAGCCTGGTTCATTTGTTACTGCTGGTTTGAAGGCTTACTCTCGTCTGCTCAAGTAATTTATTGGTTTGCAATTTTGGAGGATAAACAAGTTGAACTCTTAGGATGTCATACCTACCTGGCTCGAGTATTTGTTTATACCATTTCCAAGTTCACCATGTGAATCTCAAAGTATAGTTTGCATAAAAAGTCAGCGTGTTCCTTCCATAAACTCAAATAGTTTTGGAAGAAAGGAATGGACAGTTCAAAGAAGACTCATTGATCTTCTTCACTGAGTCTAGTTAAGTTTGAAGAGGATTTAGACATCTTTTAAGCCCATCTGAAAGTTTTGTTTCTGTGCTCCTGAGAGTTTCCTCTTCTGTTGTGAAAAATCTTCTTTGACCTAATGATCATATCAAAACAATCTTGTTCTTGATGCTAAGAATCCAGTGGAAGAACCTTGGTCAAAAGGGTCATGGGTTTTGCCCATGAAGGGCAAAAGGACCTCTCCCATCCAAGTACTAACCAGGCCAGACCCTGCTTAGCTTCTGAGATCAGATGAGATCAGGTGTGTTCAGGGTGGTAAGGCCATGAACAAGAGGACCTCTCATGTTGTTGGCTAAAGCGAGAAACAGTGTGAAATGTTTATAGCTCAGTTGTCTGGTACCTCTGGAGATGACTAGGTGGGTGGCATGTGAGTGTGGAGCCTCAGTGATATGATCTGGCTGGATATGCACAGCCTCAAGATTCCTTCTGGAATCTTACTAGTTTTCTAGACACAGTGGAACATCTTCAGCATCCTGCATCCCTTGGATCTTTATGAATTGGCCTCCTTCTGGGCCTTATCGAGGGAGTACCTCCAATGTTCTCCCAGGACAAGTGGATGTAATTATTTTATAACTACTTATAAAAGATGAACATACTCATACTTTTGCTTCAAAATTTTGAAATTTATTCTCTTCCTACAGATATTTGAGTGAAAGATTCTTATCTAGGTTAGTGTATTTGGAGGAAAGGCTGACTGACAGCTGGCTTCCAAGAACACTGAAGCTCCTCTTTTGTTGAATCCACCATAAATGACAATCTGGTCCCCAGGCTTGTAGGACTAGTAATGTTGCCAGGACCCCTGTGTCAGTAATTTTAAAAGACCGACTCACACAGCTTAAATCCATAGGAGAGTTAAGTTATAAAGGGCACACTCTGCTATCCTATGTCCTATCCATTATTAAGTTTCATTTAGATTTTCACATGACCTCAATTGCATTCTAAACCAGCCTCTTGGCATGCTTAATATCCTATCACTTGTCATAAGCACTCATCTCTACTACCAGAATCTCAGAACAGAACTTGGAAACATTCCAAGACTTTTTACTATTTCTTGTTTGAAAAGGTGATAGTTAATTGCATTAGAATCTAAAGCTACTAAAATCCTTGAAATACTTTTCTCATGAACTACATGACTGTGGTTTTCAATTCACCAAAAAAAATTAAGACCAAATAAAATTTCACCTTCAAGTACATTACGAAACAGAATTTGTTCTACAGGGCTTTAGTGAACTCTTAATCTCTTAATCTTTATTAATGGCCATAAGATTTCAGAATATTTAAATACAAAAACAAAACAAAAGATGTGAACAAAATGATTTCTCTGTCAAAGAAGCAAGAAGAAAATGTTTAAATTTCCTTGACTGGACAAAGGCATAATATAAATACTTTAGTCTAAAATAGAACCAAAAGCTGGCTCCATCTACTTGACTTAAAAAGTTTAAGAATATGGTAATATTGTATGTATTTCTTCAGTGTTACTTTTAAATTTGATCAAAATTGAAATGTTTTCTATGCACAATTTCCTAAATAAGCTCCCCCTGCCCCTACTTTTTGAAAAAAAAAAAGTCTATGGCCGACAACAGAAGATTCTTATGAATATCCACTAATAAGAAAACATTTTCCCCTGACAGCTTAGACAAGCTTCCAGTGCCAGGGAAGGGAGTTAGGAATGTAAGCTGGCACCAATCCCGACTTCCCTTACTCTCATCATTACTGGATATATCCAGTCTCTTGTCAGTCTCCCACTCAACTCTGGCTTTAGGGCCAATAATTCAGGATTTGGGCCAAATCAAGGAGTCTCAGACCAAGGAATCTGGATTTTCTTCTAGATGCAGTAGGACATGTTAGAGGTCTATGAATATGTTAGAGGGAGTAAAATGAATAGAAGCAAGGTTGGGAAGATGACTCCCTGGGACTGTGGCGAATCAACCAGAAGGGCAAAGCAGATAACTGGCAACATTCAGAGACCTGGGGCCAGTGGGTAGGGCTTTGCTTAAAGTTCTAAAGCAACTATAATCTAGAGAGCAGTGAGATGGGGCAATGCTAGCCTTACACCTCTTTCTGAAAGAGAAAGTTACATTAGGGCAAATAAAAAAATAAACTGAACAACAGGAAATAACTATGTTAAACCTTTTACACATCATCTACCTATTACCTCTCTTTCACAAGTACACTGGCACCCACACAGACAAATTCTCAAATGGATTTTCCTATGGCAATTCTTATTTTAAGAGCCTTAGTTTTGACATATTTTTCAGAGTACTACTGAAACAAACTAAAGGAGATATATTGAGATCTGGATAACTATGGGTGAGTAATCTATATTTCCCAGAAATAGGGCATGAAGTCAACTTCCCACAAGTTCTCCTTTCTTTTCTTCCATAGTCTACTCTCTTTTTGAAAAAATTGAGATATAATTTATTCACCATAAAATTTGCCTTAACTGTATAAAATTCAGTAGTTTTTCAACTTTACAAAGTTGTACAGCCATCATCATCAGCTGATTCAAATTTTTTCATTGCCTCCAAAGGAAACTATATACTATTAACTATGATTTTCTTTCTCCTAACTCCCAGCACTTAGAGATTCAAACCTATTTTCTGTCTCTGAGTTTGTCTATTCAGAATAGTTCATATAAAGAGATCACACAACATGTGGCCTTTGGTATCTATTTCATTTTTAAATTACTTTCAAGATTTACCCATATGTAGTATATGCCAGTAATTCATTCCTTTTTTTAATAACTAAATAATGTTTTGTCGTATGGACATGCCGCATTTTGTTTATCTATTTATCAGAACATTTGAGTTGTTGCTACTTTTTGACTATTATGAATAATGTTGCTATGAACATGGATGTGTAAATTTTGGGGATATACCAATGAGCAAAGTCTCTGGGTCCTATATGGTAACTCTATGTTTAACTTTTTCAAGTATTGCTCAACTGTTTTGCAAACTTGCCGTACCCTTTTTCATTCCCACTATCAAAGTGTGAGGGTTTTGATTTTTCACCATCTTTTTTTCCACCACTTGTTACTGGTTTGACTTTGACATAGCCATCCCAGTGATTTACTATTTTCTATTTCATTGTCGCTTTGATTTGTATTTCCACAATGATTAATGATGCTGAATATCTGTGTGTGTGTGTGTGTGTGTGTGTAGGGGAGATTATGGTTTGAATTCAGGACTTTGCACTTGGAAAGCCAGAGCTTTACTGCTTGAGCCATACCTCTAGTCTATTTTGCTTTGGTTATTTTGGAGATGCGGATCTTGTGAACTGTTTGTCCAAGCTGGCCTTGAACCATGATCCTCACAATCTCAGTCTCCCACGTAGTTAGAATTACAGGAGCTAGCTGCTGTGCCTGGTTGAGCATCTTTTGATATGCTTATTGCCCATCATTATATCTTCTTGGAGAAATATTTATTCAAATCCTTTATTTGCTTTAAAATCTGGTTATCTGCCTTTTAATTGCTGAGTCACAAAAGTTCATCATGCATCACACTTTTAAAATCAGACATACAATTTTTAAATGTTTTCTCCCATTCTGAGTTGTCTTTATCATGTTGTTTTTTGCAGCACAAATTTTAAATTTTGATTAAGCCCAAATTATTTTATCTTTTGTTGTTTTTTGCAATTATTTTAATATCTAAGAAATCACCATTTTATCCACGGTCATGAAGAGCTTTTGGTATGCCTGCTTTTAAGAATTTTAGTTCTTACATTTGAGTCTAGCAAGATACAAATCCAATTTTTGTTTATCTTGGAATGTTTTTATTTGTCCTTCATTTAAAAAGGGTGATTTTGTTGAATGTAGAATTCTTGGATAACAATCTTTTTCTTAAGGATTTTGAGTATTTCATTCCACTTGTTTCTGACTTATATGGTTTCTAATGAGAAATCAGCTGTTATTTTTTCCCTTACTAATTTCTTTAAGTTTTTTTTAGTTCTTTGAACATATTTCAAATCTTTGTCTAATAAGTCCAACATATATGCATCCTCAGGGATAATTTTTATTGATTTTTTTCCTGCCCTTTCGGCCATACTTTGCTTGTAATTATTTTGCTAAAAAATGGGATATTGTGAATATTATAATTTGGCAACTTCAGAAATTAGACTTTCTTCTCTCCTCAGAGTTGTTTGTTGCTGCTGTTTTTTTTGTTGTTGTTGTTGTGTTACTATTTATTTAAAGACTTTTCTGAACTAATATAACGTCTGTGTTCTCTGTCACGTGTGGCTAGTGAAGTCTGCTTGGCCAGTTAATGGCTAGATGATGGTTGCAGAAGTACATGGGTGTTAGGCATTTGTCACAGCACCTCATGCTTTACAGTCATTCATGTTTTACCTGTGTAGCAGACTATACTTTCTGAAGATGGTCACACAAATATATATTCCATTCCACATACTCATCTTACTACATGGTATCAACACTCCTTCATCAAGGGGTAGAGTCAAGGAGTTCTCATTGCTTAAGCCTTGGTAGACTTAGAAATCACTTAACCAAAGGAGTGGCAGAAATAACACCACTTAGTTTCTAAGACCCGGTTAAAAAGCTGATATGGATTCCACCTGGCTTTTGTTCTAGGGCATGAGCCTTGGGAGTACTAAGCCAACATGGTAGACATCCAGCTACTCTGACTGCTGTAATGAGACAGAGAGAGGTGTCAACAAAGTACCTTGCTTGTCCAAGTACCAGAAGTGCAAGTAAAGAAGACTTCACAATAACCTTGGGTCCAGCTACTGACTGCGACCACATGACACACCCAAAGAATCACCCAAACAGTTCCCAAATTCCAAACCCACAGCAATTGTTTAGCATTAATACTGGTTTTTGAAGCCATAGTCTATCTTGTGGTGATTGTGTTACACAACATTATACCACTGATATAGCAGGATATATCATGGTATATGAATAACATTCCCCCTTTTTTTCCCTACCATGCATCATTTTTAAATGGGAAAAAGTGGTAACTATATGGTTAAAGAAAAAGTATCTCATATTTGTGTCAAAAGTTTCAGTATGTAATTAATGTGGATATAAACTGAACTTGCATCAAATAAGTCCTTCCCCAAGAGGGTTGCATTATTTGCTCAAAATATAATTGGCTGCACTGTTTAACCAGCCATCATATGGTATACTAAAAGGTAAAAGCTCTGTTCAAACTATTATCTACAGAAAGATAACTGCATAAAGTTAATTTCCATACCATTCATATTACAAGTTTCTTGTACAACAATACCTATGTTTTGTCTTATGCATTGACTATTCTTAGGTAAACATTCGCTAAATTAAATGTCTCTATGTATGTGTGCACTTAAGTTTCCTAATGAGAAGATTCCTTTTTGTTATTGTGTTGTACTGGGGTTTAAATTCAGGGCCTTGCATTTGCTATGTGAGTGCTCTACCACTTGAGCCATACCCCAGCTCTCTTTGATTTTGTTATTTTTCAGATAGGATCTTGTACTTTTGCCCCAGGCTGGCCTCAGACTGCAATCTTTCTACCTTCACACCTTGTGTAGCTGGGACTACAGGCACAAATCTCTATACCTAGCTTGATTTATGAGATAAGATCTTAATTTTTTGCTTCAAACCTTGATCTTCCCATCACTACTTCCCATGTAGCTGGAATTACAGGTATATGCCACCATACCTAATCCTAAAAAGAGTATTTATGAATCATTTAGAACTTATTAATTTTGAACTTTCACACAGTGAAAATTTAATAAATTTAAAATAGTTTACAATTATGGATTCTTCCTAGTTGTAGACAAAAACACACTGACAGAAGTGACTGTTTTTTAGTATATGTTTGTTTAACCTTGATCTAACAGGTGTTAATATCTTGAGATTTTTATATATATATATATATATATATATTTTTTTTTTTTTTTCCACCAAGCCACTATGACCGAATACGAAGTTGTCTGGTCTGAAGATCTGGCCAAATGGTCCTGATCTTACAGAGTCTATTGTGCCTGGCTCCAGGTCCACCAGGATGGCCCGAGGTACGTATCTGTTGCCAGCTGCTTCATTGTAGTACACGTTGATTCTCTCCAGCTGTAAGTGACTGTTGCCATGGTAACTGCCAGTGGCATCAATTCCATGCTCATCACTGATGATTTCCCAGAACTTCGCAACCATCTGGTTGCCGCACCGGCCTGCCTGGATGTACACGATCTCAGGCATGATGCTGGCTGCCTTGCAGGGTGAGGCAATGTGTTTCCAAGCTGTGCATGTTAGGCAGACAGAAAAGCTTGGAAGCAGTAACATCAAGATTATATTTTTAGAACAGACACTTAGCATAGATAAAAGAAATTCAAATTTAAACCAGCCTCATGGAGAAGAATTTGCCACCTTTAGAAACCTCTTAGGCTGTTTCTTAAAAGAGTTGAAATTAATTATCCAGAATTTCTAAAAATGTGTTTTGTCTGGCTTACCTAAGCCAAAAGATAGTTTAAAACAGAGGAACGTTGATTCTTGATTCACAAATATAAAAGAAAATTATCTCTATGCTCATGAAACTTTTGTATTCTAAATCTATAAAGCTTTTTTTGGGGGAGGGACTGTTGGGGATCAAACTCAGGGCCTCACATATAATAAACGCATGCTCTACCACGGAGCAACACCCTGGCCCCCCAAAATAGCAACAAATTTCAGATATTTTTCTACTTCAATTGTAGGTGAATAAATCTAGTTATTCACTCAACATGCATGTTTGGACTATATAATTACAAATTTTCTCTTAGAAGAGATAGTAGAAAAATTTCCTAACTCACATTTCTTTCACATTTCTTTTGGCTTAATACATTGGACGTAATTCTCCATTAAGGATGTTTCTGATGATATTACTTAAAAATTACTTACTTAATTCCTAATTTCAAACAGCTACATTCTAGGCTGAATGAAAAAATTACTGGTACTTTTCAAGTTATTTAAAATGCATTTGTACATTTATATATAATCTGTATATATAATTTATTGTCAAAATTGGATAACTTTTGAGAATGTAGAGAATATTAAGAATTACAGTGAAAAACAGGCATTGAAACTGGGATCTGTGGCCATCTTAAATATGAATCATATCTTCAACATGTTATAATATAATATGATATGTGACTTACATTAAACACCATCATGCCAGGTAAGGATCAAAGTCCATCTACGCAAAGGATAAATCCTATACAAGTAGTCTTTACAGTGGCGGGAAGAGTCATAAAAGTCCTAAGCAAACATCATTATTTTAATGTGCTTTATTTTATTTTACTATTTCTTTTTTTATTATTCATTTATTCACATGTGTATACATTGTTTGGGTCATTTCTCCCCCCTCCCCCTCCCCCATCCTCTTATTTTACTATTTCTACTGCTACCACAATACTTCTCTTCCCAGAAATCAGAGTTCTGGTGACTCTGGTGCGTAATATTTAGGAGCTGCCCTTGCTCATGCTACTGGTTGTGTAGAAAACCAGTCAAGAGATGGGAAGCAGCTGTCATCAGCATAAAGTAACAACTGACAGGGGAGGGAGACATGGAAGAGCTACAAAATTGAGACAGCACTAGAATGACCATGGAGGTCACATTTATTACAGACCATCTCTTATGTGCACCAGAATAATTAAAGTGATGACTCTGAGTTGATGTCTTTAACAATTTTTGTTGTTGCTGAAAGAGTGGGGGTAATGGAGCATGTTAGTAAAATAGCCTTCAAAATGGTAAATGTTGGCATACATCTAGGTATCATATTTTGCTTATATGGAAACTGAAAGAAGGGATATTTTATTCCTGGAAAATATCTGATAATTGATGTAACCCTATTCTTCTTTTTATTTAGCTTGAAATGATCTCTTTCAAATTCATCCAAACAGTACTTTGTTGAAAAGATAATCTGAATTAACCTATCCATGGTGTTATAGAATCTCTCAAATATTCTACACAAAATTCAAAACTTTAAATAATCTTTTTATTGAAGAAGCTTCATTCTCTTTATCACTTTAATTGTCCTGTTTCAAATGTTTACCAGTTCTGCATTATTTTCAGAATTTTAAGTTACGCATTTGCTACAAAAGCAGAAGAATGTTATTGTTTTGTTCTGTTTCCAGAAGACAGAAGTATACATATCAATATTACTATTTGGTGAAATGAAGGTCAAAGTATTATTCCTTCTGAAATCTTTTCTGTCTCATTTTAAAGTGCTACAGTTGGGAAAAACATTAATGATCCATTCATCTATCTATCAGCAAATTTGCATGGATGCCTACTGTATGCCAGGCACTGCTCTAAGCACAGGGGAAACAACAATGATAATAAGTAAAATAACAACAATAAGGCATAAGAATTGAGAAATGTATGGAGTAATACAGGGTATAATAACAGAAAAGGATAGGGTATATTCTAACATTTAGGCAGAGAATAGGTGGTTATTGGGAGATACAAGATCTGAGGAGGGAATGCAGACAGGAAAGCAAGGTCAAAGGCCTTAGGTTTATGACAAGTTTGGCCTGGTCATAAAGACTGGAACTGTGTAATTGAGGGGTGAAGAGGATCTGGGCAAGGGCCCTGTGGACAAAGATACAGAATTTCCATTTTGTTCTAGTAGTGAGAAGAAGCCACTGGAAGGTTTTAAACAGAGAAATTACACGATCTCAAAACTGTCTGATGTGGGATATAGTTGGAAGAAAGACTCAGCAGGACTTTCTGACAGGAAGAATGTGTGGATGAAAAAGAGAAATGAGTCAAGGATGACTAAGTACTATTTGTTTGTTTGGGAAAGACTCGGGGAGAATCAAAAGAAATATTAAGTGTGAGAGGCCTATTGGAATTTCCGGTCAGGAGTTTGGGAGGAGGTAGGATATATAAGTCTGGAGTTCAGAGAAGAAACTAGGACCAGAGAACAAACTGAAAGTTACCAGCATGTAGAGAGCACTTAAAGCTTTGGGCCTGGATGTGATGAGTTAAGAAGAGAGTTCAGGACTTAAGGGTGTGTGAAGATAAGATAGGGCCAATAAAAGGAGGCAGAGTAGGAGCAGCTGGCCAGCAAGAGGGAACCCTGGGTAGTATAATGTGCCTCCTAATAAAGTGATTGGGGTGCACCAGAGAGGGAGTGACCAGGGGTGTTCTAACTACTGAGAGGTCAGCTGAGATGAAAACTGAGGACTGAGCATTACATTTAGGTAAGACATCACCTGTTGCTGAATCCATGCTTCATGCACTAATGTGGCTAAAAGCTTCATTGCCATGGATGAAAAAGAGAGGAGAACATGACACAGAAGAGAAAGTAAGTAAATAGTCCTTTTGCAGACTCTGACTATAAAGACAAACCAATAAATGGTACAGTGGCTGAAGGGGAGGGTGGACTGCAGCAGAGCATTTACTGGTAGCTGAATATTCATGCCTACCCTGGCATGCCACCCCCATATGAATTTCCAAGCTCCTTGCAGGTAGGTAGGTGGGCCCCCATGTCTAGATCTGCCTAATGGGCTGTGTATGGAATACGTGTCACTTCTGGGCCAATATATAAAGGACTGGGTGTGAGTTCTTCACACTCTCTTCTTCAGCTATGAATGACCAATGATGTTAAAGATAATGGAATGTCCCTGTCAACCAACACTGAAATTATAATCTAGGAAAATATTAATCAAATTAAGTTACTGGTAAACAATCAGTTTAGACCTATGAAAATAGCACTATATTATAGTCTTACTTAATAAATATTTAGTAAGTTAAATCACTGAAATTTTTTTGCATGAAATTTAATTATTTAATTTATTTTAATTTAATTTTTAAATTTTATTTATTTTGTATTTTTTTTGTTCATTTATTCACATGTGCATACATTGTTTGGGTCATTTCCCCCCTCCCCCAGCTTTCCTCCCTCCCCTCCTCAGTTTCAGGCAGGTCCTGTTCTGCCCTTGTGACTGATTTTGTTGAAGAAAAGACATATGCATAATAAGAAAGACAAAGTGTTTTTGCTAGTTGAGTTAAGGATAGCTATACAGAAAGATTCCTACTATTGCTTTCATGTACCCATGTGTTACGATCCATGTTGATTCAACTCTGATGTTTACATTGGTTCCTGACAGGCTCAGGATAACCTGTCATTTTAAGGTTTCTGTATTAGTTCCTCTGGACTGGGGACATCAAACGCTTTCAAGTTTTGGGTATTTACCTATTTCTATATCTCCCGTATGTGTTCTCCCCTTTTCTTGTGATCCAAGTCCAACCACACTGCTGCATTTACCCTAGATCTAAAGTCCGCATATGAGGGAGAACATACGATTTTTGGTCTTCTGAGCCTGGCTGACCTCGCTCAGAATGATGTTCTCCAGTTCCATCCATTTACCTGCAAATGATAAGATTTCATTTTTCTTCATGGCTGAGTAAAATTTCATTGTGTACAAGTACCACATTTTCTTGATCCATTCATCAGTAGTGGGGCATCTGTTCACTATTGTAAATAGTGATGCAATAAACATGGGTGAGCAGGTGCCTCTGGAGTAGCCTGTATTGCATTCCTTTGGGTATATGCCCAGGAGTGGGATTGCTGGATTATATGGCAGGTCTATGTTTAGATTTTTAAGAAGTCTCCAAATTTTTTTCCAGAATGGTTGCACCAGCTTGCATTCCTACCAGCAGTAGCTTTTTTCCACTGGTTCCTTTTTTCCCACATCCTTGCCAACACTTGTTGGTGGTGGTGTTTTGGATGATGGCTATTCTAACAGGGGTGAGGTGGAATCTTAGTGTGATTTTGATTTGCATTTCCTTTATGTTCAGAGATGGTGAGCATTTTTTCCTGTGTTTTTGGCCATTTGAATTTCTTCTTTTGAAAAAGTTCTGTTTAGTTCAGTTGCCCATTTCTTAATTGGTTCATTGATTTTAGGAGAGTTTAGCTTCTCAAGTTCCCTGTATATTCTGGTTATCAGTCCTTTGTCTGATGTCTAGCTGGAAAATATTTTCTCCAACTCTGTGGGAGGTCTTTTCAGTTTAGAGACCATTTCTTTTGTTGTGCAGGAGCTTAATTTTATGAAGTCCCATTTATTCATCCTTTCTCTTAGTTGCTGGGCTGCTAGGGTTCTATTGAGGAAGTCTTTGCCTGTACCTATTTGTTCCAGAGTGTTTCCTGCTCCTTCCTGTAGTAACTTAGAGTTTCAGGTCTGATATTTAGGTCCTTGATCCATTTTGAGTTGATA